AAAGAAGAGTTATTTTTCAAACAGTATTTTTAAAATTCCTCAATTTTATTTCTTTTGAAAAACAGATTCTAGTTAGGACTATAACAACAATAGTATTAAACATGAGATTTGTCTGTTTTAGATTATTCGTTTGAGAAAAAAAATTCACGCTTATAACTTTACTTTTCTTCATGAAACTTAGTAAATAATAAAATAATAGCGACATATTCCTCGTTCGCTCGGTTCACATTTTTCTAATTTACTTCTAGTTAAATACATTTTTATTATTGTACATTACTATAATATTAAAATTTTTATTATTTATTTAATTAATAATATCTTTATTGTTAATATATAGGGGAGAGTGTGTCAAACCGGCCATATCTCAATATTTCTGAAATGGTGAAATTTGAAAAAGTGTTGTTTACAAATTTAAAGCAACCATGTCTATTATACCTTATTTTTTAATCTGACAGTTAGCTTATGATTGTGCAACGCTTGGAGCAAAAGTACTCGAACGTTTCGAGTACTCGAGTGCATTCGAGTACTCGGATTTTTTCGAGCTCTTAAGTAAATTCGAGTTCTAGAGAAAAAATCTTATAATTTTCGCATATATTATAATTAGCAAATTGAAGTACACTTTGACATTGAAGATTTATTGACTTTATTGATTCAGTTATTCGCATAAATTCGAAATTTTCTACTTATTAATAGTTTCTTTTGTCATTTAAAAGCTCGAATCCATTCGAGCACTCGAATTTACCCGAGTACTCGATACATCGAGCCGGCTTGGGCTCGGCTTGGCTCGGCTCGAAAAAATTTCGGCTCGGCTCGGAAATTCGAGCTTTTTGCACATCTCTAATTTATATTTAAAAAAATATATAATATATTATAGAAATATCCCAGTGGGTACCGGGACATGGGATGTCTTTAGTGCGTCCTTAGGACATCATTACGATGTCTATGTCCGTTCAAATCTCTTTCTATCTTCTCTTTTTATTAAATCTCTTTCAATAACCCTTATTTTCTCTACTTTTATCATTTTAATATTTATTTTTTTTCCTTTCTATCCCCATTTAAATCTCAGTATCCAGATGGAAATATTCCCGGGAACTTTGAGGGAACTAAAACCGGTAGCTACTACCGGTAACCACTACTGGAATTTTTTATCGCTAATAATGCCAAAAATCACTACCGGAAGATTTTCCCGGAAAAACTACCAAAATAATTACAGGGAATTATTCCGGTAGTGATTTTTGGCATTACTAGCGATAAAAAATTCCGGTAGTGGTTACCGGTTTCAGTTCCCTCAAAATTCCCTGTAATATTTCCATATTTATACTTATTCCCTTGGATCTACCGCAATCTATCTCTTTTTTATTAGATTCAAAAATCCCCTCCAACACTTCTTGAACACTTGTCATCGAGAGCGTTCTTGTATCGCCGTACTGACAATTATTTTTACTGTCTAATAACATTGAATAAAATTTTTAAAAAATTGGGCGGTATCTGACTTTTGTCCCAAAGGTTCAGGGTTCGAGCCCTTCTGCGTGCGAGATTTTTCAAATCTACTTTTAAGTGTTATGTGTACTCTGTCCCTGACCCTTTCATCTTTATCACACTCTTATTCTTAAGGGTAACATACATTTTTATAAAGATTTTAAAATAGAGAAACCATTTTAATGAAACATTGATGGCTGCTGAAAAGAAATACAAAAACAAACAAGTATATTATTGGTTAAAACTCCCATATGAAAAAAATCCCGAAAACATCTTCAGTTGGACTAGTGCGCACTGGGTTCTTGTGCATCAAAGTCTTTGACAAGTTCTCTTCTATTTTTTAAGACACAAAAACAGCCACTCATCTTCAACATTTCAGGAAATACTTAAAATCTCATTACGAAAAAGTAATGCAAACATGGCTACTCGTGAATTTTATTGATATATATCTTATTATTATATTATTAATAGAACGTTCAACGTCCTTCCGGCAAGACAAAAAAAACTAAGGTGAGTCCGCCTGAAATCGCATTGTAAAATTAATATGGATTTAACTAACATAACAAGAAATATATAATTGAAAAAGTGAAAACGTCAGCTTTCAGCGCATTTAAAAATCTAGTAGGTAAATTAAAACCCCAGAACTGGGTAGCTTAAAGAAGTTGAAACTTTTTTATATAAAATTTTTTCATGAATCTAAAAAAAATATTAAAAAAGGAAATTTTTTTAATCAAACAATTATGTCTCATTCTTTGAACGTTTCTGAAGAGAAAGAGATTGAACCGGATAAAAAATATTGATTTTTGTCGATATTACATTAAATTTACGAAAAAATGTTTTTTTACTTTTTAGAAACATAGAAAGTTTCAGGGCATTGAAAAAAGGTTTAATATTATTATTTTTAAAAGTCAAATATACAGATTTTTCGTCTTTTTGCTTACTTTAATCCCTAAAAGTGCAAGAAAAGAAAAATTGAATTCCCCTTTTTTAAAAGCCTTGTCAAGACGGCCTTTCAGAACGTCCTTCCGGTAGGAAGGGCGCTTGGACGTTCTATCATTATATCCCAGGTAGAAATTTTAACTCTGTAATGACCAGTCACTGGAAAATTTTTCTAGATTCAGGTCAGTGGCTGACCAGAAAATCTGTCAAGTGATTGATTAGAAATGTAACGTGCTGCTTTAGCAGTCACTGGTTAGATTATCTGGCAAGTAACTGGAGAGTTTTTTGCTCGAAACCCAGAGTATAAAATATAATTTTTTCCAGCTCTTGTTATTATATTTATAATTATTTAATTATATTTTTGTGTTTATTCAAATATTTAAGACTAATCGAACTCTAGACCCTGGAAACACAACGCATATTCGTTACCACACAACCACGGTGACTAGATGGTAATTTATCATAACTACAAGTTTAAAATATGAAGTTCTATTCCGATTGTGACCAGAATTTCTGGCCAGTGACTTGTCAAACGTAATGATCAGAAATCATAACCAGATAAATTGTTTAGTCACTTGTCAGACACTTGACAGTTGACACATCTTATCTTGTCAAAATTCAGAAAAATGAAAACTTTGGTTTTCAATTTTTTACTGTATGGAAAATGAAAATTATTTTTAATATCTAACTATAAATGTTTGACTAAGAGAGTATTTTATGGGACTGGTGCTTTATTTTTTCCATGGTCACTTTCTGTGTCCGCAGTTTATTTTTTTGATATTGTCAAGATTTTCCGGCTAGAGATTTGGAAAAATGTAGAATAATTTTTTTAATAGGAGTTGGCAAGTTTTTCAGATAAGTGGTGAAACAGGTTTTTCAGGAAGAATCAAATAATTTTTCAAATCAGAGACTGACCAGCGTCTGAAAGGAAATATTATCACAATTATGATCAGATTTTCTAGTCAGTGACTTCACTGTAAAAACAAGTGTCTCAATGTAAGACGTTTTGTCCCCACTTTTGAAACATTTGAGGTGTTTTACCTCAAAATTACTAAGGTAAAACACCTCAATTGTTTCAAAAGTGGGGACAGAAACGTCTTACATTGAGACACTGTTTTTACAGTGTTGACAAAAGTACTGTTCACAAAGAGGAAATATTTTCATCCAGTGAAACTGGCCACTCACTTATTTAGGACTGGCCAGATTGTCTTGGCAAGTAAAACTCGCTCCCTACTTCACAGCTACTTGAAGGAAACAAGTAATACTTGACGAATTTCCACTTGGGATACTAGAGCCAAAAAAATATACCTGGGTCTGGTCGTTTACCAAGATCAAGTCCTTTACGGTTTTCAGTGGTAAAAACAACCCCTAAAAAGAGGGAAAGCAATTGTCTTGCAAAAAATCTATAAAAATTCAAAATTTTTATTCAAAAATTGTTTAAACCTCATTGCGACCATTAAACATACCCTTACAAATATGTGAGGTCCAACTTTTAACTCCAAAACTACCCCTATTTCGATTTATTTAAAAAAATATTAAAGAAACAAAATTTTTATGATTTTTTAAAATTAATCTTTGAATAATTGAACCTCCCAATTCTATAACTCGATCTGATTATTTATTCATAGAATATTACTAATTGATTTAAAAAAGAAAGGATTCAATTCGATTGAGATTTACGAGTTTTATTTTTTATTTATTTATTACTTATTTATTATTTATATATTATTTATTTATTATTTATTTATTAATAAAATGTTACTAATTGATTTAAAAAAGAAAGAATTTAATTCGATTGAAATTTACGCGAGTATTAGGTAATTTTGACCGTTACCTTGTACACAGAGCCTTTGCTTCAGTGCGCTTTTTGGCCCTGCGCGCAAAGACAAAAAATACAATATCTCTGAAAGTTTAAGAGTCTCCATTGATTTCTTTATGTCAAAATAGTCGTGAAATCCTAAGGAATCAAAATATCGCTATTAGAAAAAAATTAAAGATACGCTTATAAACAAAAAATTTGTTTAAACAATATTTCTTAAATTTTTTATTTAAAACAAAAAAAATTTTTTTTGCAAATTTTTTCATTTTAATTGTCTGTAAATAATAAGTAATCCCTGAAAAAATAATTAAAATCTATCCATATGTCTCTGAGATATTGCGTTTTCAAAATTTCAAAAAAAAATTTTGATAACCCTGAACAACCACAAATTTTCAAAATTTTCGAAAACCTTTTTGGAATTTTTATTCGCATGTATTTTTCTACAATTTCTCAAAGTTTCGCCAAAATCGGAGAACTGAGGGACAACTTTGATTTGTTAGGTATGATTTGACCCACCAGTCAAGTAGAAGTGAGCGCCTCTGGGCCACTCACTGCTACCCGACTGGAATTATAGCACGCGTCCACGCGTACATCGAGTTATAGAATTGGGAGGTTCATATTGTAATATCTTCTTATCAGCTTACTATTTTCAAATTTTCACTCCAACCCTTTGTAACGTTTTATCACGTTTCTGTTCTACTAACAATCCTTGTTGTTACACAGATTGAATAATTCATATTAGTACTATATATTTTCAAATTGTATTTCGCGCTTTAGCGCCAATCTTTAACACCAGGCGTCGCGCACGCCATGAATAGCAGACGACAAAAGCACATGTTGCTTCTGGCCGGCAAGAAACAGCAGATTGGTGTGAACCACATGTACGAAAACATACCATTGCGCATAATTAATAATTGTATTTTTATATTCTTTGTGCCAAAATAAATTATTGTTTCTTGTGAGTGCGCTGATTATTTCCGCCGTTTCCAGCGTCATAATCGCCGATTTCAGTTGTGGGAATACTAACAGGTTAGTCTTCCAATTTTGTTTTTCTTGGCTTGTCACCGAAGGAAGGAGGAGAAATTTTTCGAGCAGTGGATTCCTGGTTGGCAATTGTGTCTCACAATATGAGTCGAACCCTCGATTTTTATTACAATTAATTCTTATATTGTTGGTCACATTTTTGGCGCCCAACGTTATCTTTTAACCAAAATTGTGCCCTTGCCACATTTTTGGCACCTAACGCATATTTTAATAAATTTCTTAAAATTCATTTCTCTCTGTGCGAGTCTACGTTGAGAGTTCCCCTCGCGTCGCCATTGTGACGTCACGCCAGGGCCACTCTCTGATCACTCACACAACCATATGACTGTGTCGCGCCTGAAAAGCAACACACTTGCCATTCTTGTAAATAACTTAGCATTTTTCTAAATTATCCTCGCGCATTAAAGTCATATTATTATTAAACAAAAAAAAACATATAAAACCCAACCAGGCTCCCTCAGCTCAATTAATGGAAGTTAAAAAGAAAAATCATTCTTGTATATTGCTACTATTAAATAAATAAAGCATGAATATTCTCTTTTCTGCTATCTCACTACTTGTATTCGCACCAATCTCAATACACTTCGCATAAATCATGGAATTTACAACTGTCAACAAATTATTTCGATTAAATAATTAACTTTACTCAAAATTAAAATACGTAATGTAAATTTCAGACTACACTTTACTTAAAATATCTTTGTTTTCTTTTTCAAAATATTTCTAGTATAGTACATGCAAGAAAATAAAAACATATTTTTTCGCTTCGCTTAAATTTTATACTTACGCTACGCTTACTATTTATATTTTTCGCTGCGCTTACTATTGTTTTGCTTTCTCAACACCTTTGTTTTTTCGCGTAAACTACTTAGCAACAATTATTTAACAAATTTTTTTGTAGAAATTGTATAATACACCGACTTAAAAATTTTATTTTAATATTCTTTTCCTCCGTAAAAATAACAATCATGATTGACAATTTTTAAATAATTTCCTTCTTTATAATAAAAAAAAGGGAATCACGAGTCTCCAGCTTGATTAGCGCGATGAAAACACAGCTGTGTTTACTATCACAGCACAAATACCTTGCTTCTTTCAAGTCTTCGAAATTACAGAAATAATGAAATTTTAATTTTATTTCAATGATTTCTGTATAATCTTTCTATTAAAGAGAGAAACTATTTTGAGAAAAAAAAAGAATCTAATCAATTTAAAAAAAAAAAATAATAATTTTATTAATAAAAGTTTGATTATCGAAATTAAAACGAAATGTAACTTTTATTTTCCTCTGAATTAATAAATAAAATTAATTAACAATTGAAACAAAAGGAACAAAATGTATTAAAAGATAAATTAACTTTTCTTTAATTAACAAAATTAAAATAAATTGAAATTTTTTTTCTTTTTCTCTCTCTCATTTTCCTTTAAATTGATAAAACAAAATTTTATTAAAATTTGATTATCGAAATAAAATCTTATTATTGATGATTAAATTAGTAAAATAACCTTATTAAAAATCAGATTAACAAAATAAAATTTTATTAATAACTAAGTTGATAAAATGAAGTTTTACTAAAAATAAAATTAATAAGATGAGATTTCTTTTTGTTAACAAGTAAAATGATGAAATAAAATCTATTAAAAAAAAATTTTTTTTTCTAACAAAGGAAAATGCTTATTTAATTATGGGAAAAAGAAGCCCTAAAAAGAACGAAAAACAAAAACGAAAAACACGTTCCCAAACAAGCGCATTTAAAGATTCTGACAAAATGTGGAGAACACCACCCAAAGAAGACAAAACAACCCCCGTTAACTCTGAAAATTTAGATAATAACACTGCGCGTACTGAAAATGTTACTAACACCGCACACGTTCCACAAGAAGGAACATGGAGCGCAACTAAAGAAAATTTAGAAATTATTTTTTCACAAAATCAAAATCAAAGACCTCCTTCACCAGCGGAAAATTTTAGCCCAATAAATAACGCCGACGTAGAATCTCAATCAACTAGCGCAAATACAACTCCAACTTACCAGTGGAACATTTTTAAAGATACAAAGGCTAACACATTAAAAGACACTCATACAGTCAACCCTTTACAACCCCCATCAGGGACACTTCCTAAAATAACGCTTCATCGCCGCGTTCATAAATCTAAAGCACAAAAAACCCCAGTATCTAACACACAATTAAATCATTTTTACACGCGAATAGAAAATCTCGCAATTGCTCAAGCGGAAGAAAATAAAAAATTCAAAAATGATATGCATCAAATATTCCGACAACATCTCGAAAATACACGTCAACAAACACTAGACGCGTACAACGAAAATCGACTAGAACTAACCGCGCTAAGAAAAGAAACAACTAAATCGATTAAAAAACTTCGTGCCGAAATGTCAGCTAACATACAGGACCTCACAAAAAAAATGTCACAAATGCAAACGAGACATGCGCCATCCCCGTGGCACGACTCTCGTTGGGAATTCGACAACAGTGGCGAACACATCGCGCAACAGGTTAGTTTACCCCCCACTACAACCACAAACACGGTCACATTCACGGATAACACTTCGACTACAACGCAAAGTGCAACCACAGTCATAGCGCCGATACACCCCCCACTCTCGTTCACACCTTTGCGACAAGGACCCCCTGCAAATCGCACACTACATTTCGCAGAACAACCAGATTTTATGTTTCCAACTCCCGAAAACGTAAATGACAGAAATCAACACGATTTAATTGACCTTCCCTTGAACCCAGTTCTCGACGCCTCCATCGCGCAACGAACTCAAGTTCCAAACTTACATAAAATCATCAAATCGTGGGATCTCAAATTTCCGGGAAAACAAGACGCAAACGAATTTCTCGACGAATTCGAAAGGAAAATGACTGCTTCAGCGATAAATCCAAATGACGCGCTCCCAATTTTCTCCCAAACTCTATCAGATACCGCGTTCTCATGGTTTAACATGTTTCGTCACAAATGGACAACATGGACAGAATTTTCCACGTCATTCCGAAAAACATTTAGTGATGTTAACGATGACAACCAAATTCTGAACAAAATCCACCGCGCAGTTCAGTTAGAAAATGAAACAGGGATAGATTTTGTCATAAAAATCGGCGCGCTTTATAACAAATTGAGAAATAAAATTCCGGAAAACATCCAGCTTGACAAAATTTATCTAAGCCTACACTCCTAATTAATTTCTCTTTTCGATCGCGACAGCTTCACCTCTTATGAAGGACTTTTAGATAAAATACGCAAATACCAAGAAAAAATCGAGTTCATGCAACAATCGAATAAATTGCACGAACAAGACGCGAAACGGTCTCGTAACCAGCGCAACAGAAATCAATTAAATGCAATCGATTCGCAAACCTCACAATCTAAAAATTTTTCAGACGAATCAACCGAAAAAGAAACCGAAACAGAAACAAAACAAAAACAAGCGAATAAAAACAAACAAAAAGCGAAACCAGAGCCCAAACAAAAGTTAAATAAAATAGACATTTATCAAAAACAGTTCGAGTCTCTTAAACAAAAATTAAATATAAGCGACACAGAAAATCCCAATGCGAGTAAACCTAAAAGCGCTTTGATCACTCCGAACAAATCTTCGTCTTCTCATAGGTCGCGCAAACGTTCCACTTCTGCTTCTTCTAACTCCTCAAGCTCCGCTCCGTCGCAGAAAGGGGGGGAAAAACGTAGATCGTCTGCGCACAAGAAAAGCGAAAATCCTCGTGGTCGTGGAAATGGCCACCGAGGCGGTAACAATCAAAATAATCGCGGACGCGGTTATAACAATGGTTGGAATGGTAGTGGCCGTGGTCGCAATCATAACCAAGACTACTACCACAATTCCCCCCACTCTTCGCAGTACTACCAGCTAGATTGTCAGTGCAGCGCGCAAAACGTGAGACCTCCTTGTCCCCCGCACGCGCCTCCACCGCAACCAACGAGCATGCAGGTAGGATTTATACTAGTGATTCTGAAAGCGATTATGATGATTGCTTATATTCTGAATCTGAGACTGAGTACTCTGAATCTGAGGAAGATTGCTCTCCCACAATAGGCGCGTGCATATCTTCACTCAGATCGCTGCCACTGATTAATCAGTCGAACAATTTATTTGTATTGACTGATAAAACTAAGCGCAGAGTACACAAAGGGCACGCATCGCCCTCGCCGCCTCAGGAAAGATGTACAATTTCCACGGTAATCAAAATCGGTAACGAAAGAATAACAGCGTTTCTTGACACAGGTAGTGATCGAACTTTCATGTCATGAGAACTTTTCGACAAACTCAAAAGTTTAGCTAACGGCGATCCGATTAAGGATGCGATAACGCGCGCCGGCGTACAACTCGCGCAACGCGATCACGTAGCCGCACCACGCCATTCCGTAAAATTCGATAGCGAAATAGATAATTGCCACGGTGAAATGTGGTTCGCCGTTCTCGACGGTCTAACTACACCAGTCATTTTAGGCATGGACTTTATAACTAGATGGCAAGTTATTATTGACGCAAGCCAAGGTTATTGGTCCATGAAAGGGTCCTCGGTTCGTCACCCTTTAGGCTCCATTTCCAATGCACGTAGCTTCCTAAATTCGGCTCAATTAATCGAATTATCTCCGGAACAAAGGAATAAATTAAATGCGTTTTTAGATGATAAATTATCGAAATTTGCCTCTGGAACCGGTGTTACTAATTTAACGACACACGTTATAGAGCTCACCGATCCAACGCCATTTAAATTGAAACCTTATCGCCGCAGCTTAGAAGCGAACAAAATAATTAACGATCAAATTGACATTTACTTAGACAAAAAGTTTATTGTTAGGAGCAATGGACGTTTTGCTAGCCCAGTGGTGCTCACTTATCGTAAGGATCGTAAGGCCTAGAGTATGCATGGACTTCCGAAAGTTGAATAAGAACACAAAGAAATCAGCATACCCTTTGCCACGTATGGACACCATACTTGATGCGCTATCTGAGGCTAACATTATTAGCACCATTGATTTAACTGACGCGTTTCACCACATACCAATTGACCCGAAATCGCGAGAATACACCGCCTTCGTTGTCCCTGGTCGTGGACAGTTTGAATGGGTCAGAATGCCCTTCGGACTCACAAATGCGCCGGCAACTTTCCAAGCTCTAACTGATAGACTGAAAGAAAAGTTCGTAGAACACATTCGCGCTAAAAATCTGCCCGAACATTACTGCGAACAAGTTCACGCGTATCTCGACGATTGGATAATAATATCCAAAACTTTTGAAGAACTTATTCTGCTTCTCGATGTAGTCCTTACCATTCTACAGGAAGCGGGATTGTCCATCAATCGCGACAAATCTTATTTCGCGAAATCGTCAGTAGAATATTTAGGTTTCATCCTTGACAAAGACGGTTTAAAACCAAATGCAAAGCGCGTCGAACCAATCCTCGAACGAGCGACTCCTCGTAATCGAAAAGAATTACGCCGGTTCAACGGCTCAGTGAACTGGTACCATCGACACCTGCGCAATATTGCAAAAGTGCAAGGACCGCTAAATAAATTAGCGAGTCCAAAGGTACCTTGGAACTGGACCGAAGAACACGAGGCCGCGTTCGACGAAGTTAAAGAATCTTTAAAAAGCGCTTTAACTTTAGTCGCGCCTAGGCCCGGTTTACCCCTCTACTTGTATACCGATGCAAGCGACACCGGTATCGGTGCTATCTTGACACAGCAAGATGGAGAAAAAGAATACTTAATCACATGCTTGAGCAGACCTTTAAGAGGTGCTGAATTAAATTACACCACCACTGAAAAGGAATGCTTAGCTGTGATTTGCGCTATCAAAAAGCTCCGCTGCTACCTCGAATGCGCTGAATTTACTGTGATAACGGATCATTCCAGTTTAATTTGGTTGCAAGGTCTCAAAGACCCAAAAGGTAGACTTGCGCGATGGGCTCTCGAGCTTTCCGCAAACAGTGTCAAGATCGAGCACAGAAAAGGTACAACTAATGAAGCGCCGGATACGCTTTCGCGACTTTACGAAGACGATACTAACGATACGCACGTTACCGAACTAAATTCCATTAAAAGTCAAAGTTGGTACGACCAGATGTTAGAAAAAGTTCGTAAAGATCCCTTGCGCTACGAAAGATATAAAGTTGATTCGAACATTCAACTATACTATTATAAACCAAATATGGTTAAAGAAACCATCGGCGATAATAACGCCTGGAAAAAGATCCTTAGAGAAAATGAAATTTTACCGATTATTACCGAACATCATTGCACTGCTCAATCCGCGCACCAAGGTATCAACAAAACCTACCTTTCGATAATTAATCATTTCTATTGGCCTGGTATGCGCGAAGATATCAAGCGTTACGTTAATGAATGCGAGATCTGCCTTAAGTGTAAACCCAAAAATACACCCCCCCCAAGGCTTAATCTATCCGCGCAAAATTACGGAACCTTGGGAAACAGTGTCACTCGATATCGTAGGTCCCCTACCTCGGTCGAAATCTGGTAAAAGTTACATCTTAGTTTGCGAAGACACATACACTCGGTACATAGATTGCTTCGCGCTGTCCAAAGCAGACGGTCCCAAGATTGTAAAATCTTTAAATACTCTTGTTAACCGCTGGGGAGCGCCTAGAATCGTTATTACTGACAACGGTACAGAATTTGTAAACCGCAACATTACATCGTTCTTACAAAAAATCGGTTCAGTACAACGTACAACACCCGTGTATCACCCTCAGGCTAATCCTGTTGAGCGCGTGAATCGTAATTTAAAGACAATGTTAGCGAGTCTTCTCGGTGAAAATCAGCGCGAATGGGATATTCTACTTGAAGATATCCAGTTCGCGTACAACACCACTGTTCACACTTTCCTTGGAGTTACGCCAGCCTTTCTAAATTTTGCCCGTGAGCCAAGACGAACAGGTGAACCACCGCGCGAGATAAACACTGACATAAATACAGACGAGACAATCAACATTTGGTTAGATCGTATAAAACAAATAGATGCGCTTCGCGCAAAAGTTGAACAACTCATGAAAAAGGCTAGTAAGAAGCAAGGTAAAGTAAATAATATAGTAAAGTATATAACAAAAACCGGAAGAATGATATTGATTTCAAGCCTGGAGATCTCGTATTCTATCCCAATAACACTTTATCTAATGCTGCACGCGGTTACAGCTCTAAACTGGCACCACGTTACAAAGGCCCAGCAACAGTTCTAGAAAAATTGTCACCCATGATAGTTGTTGTCGGCGATTCGCATGGCAAAAAGTTAGGAAAATATCATATAAACGACTTAAAACCTGCAAGAAAGAATCTTCGATCGCGCTCTACGTTGTAAAAATTTCTATTACAGATATACGATCACCATGGAACCAGCGCCCAACGACAACACGAACAACGCTACTGGATCTGCCCTACAAGAGATTCCGGTTCTGTGCATTACGCCACTCCCCGAAGACCAAGGCGAACCCAGCAGCGCCATCACTCTCGAGCAACCATCAAGTGGTCTGGTTGTTTTACGCAAGACAACCTTAGAAACCCTTCTGGCCGAACGTGACAACCTTAAAGAAAAGTTAACTACTATTCAACAACAATTGTCTTCTTTTGAAGAAAAAGAAAAACTAAATTGCGCAACGACCAGCAAGGCCACCGAACATAAGGAAGAACACTACCAATTTATGGCGGATTTGAACAAGGAACGCTACAACCTAACAAACACGATCTCAGAACTCCAGAAAGAGATCACTGATCTAAAAGTCGAACGCGCCACCATGAAAAAAGATCTCGATTCATATGAAGCCGATTTCAACCGAGTTTGCGACGATTACTCTTACCAGGAAGACTACAGCCTCCGCCTCAAGAAACTCTTTTACAACACGGTATCCGAAGTATGCCATGCTCTCGCAAATTTGCGCGAACCGAAGCTGAGACCTAAGGCCCCCGAAGGCTGCCTTAACTGTGGTATCAGCGGGCATAGCTTTCGTTCCTGCCAAAGAAAATATAACGGACGTTTCTGCCAAACCTGCGCACACCCCGACTTTTCGACCGCAGAATGTCCTTGGCCTCACTACCCTAATGGACCCTCTAGCATTCCCGAGAGCAGCAGATGTAAATCGTGCTGGCAATCAAAGACTACGCCAAACCCGCATTGCGCTGAGTGCCGTCGAAGAATGATAAGAGAAAATACCATTAAGCGCAATAAACTCGACCAAGAATTAGAAGATGCATCATTCTCACTCCCTTCCACCAGCCAATCAATGAAGGATGGAAGACAAGCAGTTCGCGCCATCATCGCTCCCCCAGCTTCTCAAGCCCAGCATATAGCCATTACGTCAGTTGTAACTAACAACTCTAAGAGCGAATTTTGCGTTCAATCCGAACCAAAAGCCGAAACTGGAATGCAGCCTTCTACTCAGCCAGCAAATCCCAAGACTGCTCTGCAAAATGCGCAATCCAACGAAGAGCCAACGGTTTCACAAGACCCAATAGTTGAACCACTAGTACTCTCACTCCAAGCACAGCCCAGTAATGTGCAGAACCTGATCTCCCCAAGGGAATCGATCGATGACAACGTTGCTCTATGGGAATCTCTCACGGAAGCGTTTAAAATTGGACTAAACGAAGACATCGAAAAAAATTGAACTCCAGTCCTCCTTGTACAACTAGTTTAGTAACGATAAACAGTATTACTTTAATTTTTTTAAATTTAGTTTTCTTTTAGTTAAGAACGATCTCTTGACAACCAAATATTATAATTATCACCAATTTTGTTTTCACTACTAAGTATTATTTTGAAAACTAAACTAAGTCATGATTACTATAGTAACTATTATTAAACAAAAAAAAAAAGAATTTTTTTTACCTATTTTCGTTAGACTTCTAATAATAGTCGAAATTTTTATATTTTGTTGCACCGTTGTGCCTTCGCGCCGTTGCGCAGTAAACTATTAGTAAAATAAAAAAAATATTAGTTTAGTATTTCATTTAATTTCTAACTACCAAAGCTACTTAGATATTAGCGCCGTTGCGCAGTATTATTCTCATTATCTAAAGATTATATATATTTTTGTACTACTCAGATCCTAGCGCCGTTACAATTGTAATCAACGACTTCTCAGCGCCATTAAAACCTTTCGAATAAAACAAATCTAATTGAAATATGTTGTTAAACATAATTGTATTAATTAATACCCCACAACTGATTATTAAGACGAGAAGTGAGATATCAGATAGGTTTTAATTTCAGATTCTTTTCCCTCCTTTCATTCAGTTATCTTTGCATCTCAATTTTTAATGCTTTGTTTTATTCCTAAATCATTATGATAATTATTCAATTCTAACTTAAAAGGATTAGTCTCTTTTGCAAGCCAAGGATTATGGGTTGGAGAGATTTAGCCAAACGACTCAATCCTGGGTAGCAACAACGATTTAAGAAGGGGGAATTGTAACGTTTTATCACGTTTCTATTCTACTAACAATCCTTGTTGTTACACAGATTGAATAATTCATATTAGTACTATATATTTTCAAATTGTATTTCGCGCTTTAGCGCCAAACTTTAACACCAGGCGTCGCGCACGCCATGAATAGCAGACGACAAAAGCACATGTTGCTTCTGGCCGGCAAGAAACAGCAGATTGGTGTGAACCACATGTACGAAAACATACCATTGCGCATAATTAATAATTGTATTTTTATATTCTTTGTGCCAAAATAAATTATTGTTTCTTGTGAGTGCGCTGATTATTTCCGCCGTTTCCAGCGTCATAATCGCCGATTTCAGTTGTGGGAATACTAACAGGTTAGTCTTCCAATCTTGTTTTTCTTGGCTTGTCACCGAAGGAAGGAGGAGAAATTTTTCGAGCAGTGGATTCCTGGTTGGCAATTGTGTCTCACAATATGAGTCGAACCCTCGATTTTTATTACAATTAATTCTTATATTGTTGGTCACACCTTTTATGCTTATTATAATCAACCCCTAAGACAAATCTTGATAACTACGGTATATTTAAGACTTGCAAAATCTGAATTTGAAGTTTGATACAAAAAATTAAAACTTTCTGTCAAATTAAAAAAAAATTTGATTTTTATGACATTGAAATCTGTATAATGCTGAATTAAAATTTTTATCTGTGTTCCTTGCCTCCAAAACCAGTCCTATCCTTAATCCGAAACTAGTTTTGGACATAAAGTACACAAATAAAAATTTGAATTTGGCATATATTATAAATTTCAATGTTATAAGTCAAATTTTTTTAAAATTTGTCAGAAATTTTAAATTTTATATAATAAACTTAAAATTCATATTCTCCAAGTTCGAAAAAAGATATTATACTTATTCAACGATTTATTTTAAGAAATCGAATTTTTTTAGTTTTATTAATATTTTTTTAAATAAATAGAAATAGGGGTAGTTCTTATGTAAAATTGGACCAGATATATAGTAACGTTACCTATCTCTTTTCTGGCTCTTATTTACAAAAATCTGTGGTTTGTTCATAAGTACAAAAGAAGTTTAATTTAGTCGAACGGTGCAATATTATAACAAACATTATAATTAAAAATTTTCTATCCCGGAAAAGAATGTAACTCTTTCTGAATATCAACTTTTTAAGATTATAAGACTCAAAATAGAAAAAGAAACATTTCCGAAGAAAAAAATAATGAAAGAATAAAAAAACAGGACAATTGCGAATTGTATTCGTACTGAAACCGAATATTCCGTACCCGTACTGAACTCTAATTATTTTCATTACATTTTTACTGAAGTCTAAATATAAAAATATATACGAATGCAAAACTGCAGTCCACCAACCCAAAAATTAAGAGCGCCAGGAGAAAAAAAATCTTCTTTTTACTAAATATTAAAAATAATATATTTTTTCGCGAAAAAAAATTTAAAGATCATCTCCAATCGTTTTCGATGCTCGGCCTATTAATTAATGGTATCTTTAAAAAAATACAAAAGGGTTTCTGTAAAATTAAAATTTTCTTTTGAAAATTATTTAATTTATCAGTTTTATTATGGAAAATGTCTAGACAAATCGGGAAATACCTAAAATTTCAACCCAATTTCCTTAGGCCTAAATTTCCTGGACATTATTAGGTATTTCCCGACCTTTCTATTTCTTAGGAATATCTATGGAAAATAATTTATTTGTTTACAATGGGTGAATAACTTGTTGAAATATATATGAGGCATTCCATGTCAAGTGATCCAGGTGTCTTACGGTGTAATGCTTATTTCGATAATTTTTTACTCTTAAACTATTAAACATAAAAATTTGGCAAGGTACATTTTAGAAAGGTTTTTTCATGCTCTTTCGATTGAAAATAAGCATTTAAAAAAAAAATTTTTTTTTGACCCAAAAAAATCAAAATTAAAAATAAATTTTAATTTTTTGGAAAAAAGGTCCCATTTTTTTTTTTTTTTTTTTTTTTTAAACGAAAGCTGAGGTTTTTTCCTAAAAGGACATATAAATGAAAAAGTGGGACAAGAATGTTTAAACATTGAAAAACAGAGGTTTCTACTCTCTAAACCCGGTTTTTAGCTCTGTTTACGAGAAAATTTTTTGAAAATTCAAAAAAATTCAAAAATTTTGATTTTCTCCAAAATGGCTAAACCGATTCTCTTGAGAAATTTTTTTTGCACAATACAATATGAACAGTTGATACAAAAAATTGTTGACCAAATTCTTACAAAGAAAACCAGTAAAAAGACAGAAAAAAAAATTTTTTTTTGAAACTTTTTTTGGGCAAAATTTTTTTTGAACCACTGCACCGACATTTTTTTCTATTAAATAATTATCATGTCAAAAGTAACATCTAATATTCGCAAGATGATTAAAAGGGTACTTCATTCTTTAAAAAATAAAAAAACCGATTTTTGGCCCCTAAATAGTAGGGTAATGTCACCTTGAGTGGACCGCCTAAGCTTTTTTTCTTAAAAATTCTTTATGAAAGCAAATTAATCGGAGGTTTATATTCAAAGCTTTAGTTTAGATCCCTAGATAAGTGTTTATACCATAATAGCTTTGATTTTTTTTATTTGGCAAAAACAATTGACTTTAAAAAAATAGCTAATTTTTAAAGAATGAGAAAAGTGTAACCTTGAGTGGACCACTCCTAAAAAATTGTAAAAGTTATTCTAAATTCTTTAATGCATTTAATATTTCTGATATATTAAAACAAAATTTATGCTTATGCAGCTTCAGACCATGATTGTGTCGCAATGTTTACAAGTGAAACCATTTTTAATAATTTTGGCACATATTACATCAAAATCACAAAAAAATTAATAAAGAACATAAAACATAGTTTCAAACCAATTTATTGTCAATTTATTTCCATAAAAATGGTAAACTGATATTAAAAATATAAAAGACAGGCAGTCCACTCATGATTATAAACAGTGGTCCACTCATGGTGACATGCAACTTTTTATGGCAGACACCAACATTTTTTTTAAAACTTAAATTTTACACTACTTTTACACTTCCGAATCACTTTACTCATTGTAAGAGCGACTTCTTTTTTGGTTTGTGTTTCTAAAAATGCGTTACATCAAACGATAGCGTATATGATTATCGCGGAACATAAATTCTTACGGTTTCTAGGTGCGGTGCTGCTATTCGTTTTATTTATTTCACGTTTCCGCTGTCAGATAACTTAAAAACTCAAGTGGTCCACTCAAAGTGGCGGTCCACTCAATGTGACATTACCCTACATTAATTGTAGTACTACAAACACACAGAGTACTACAAGTTGACCAATACTGTTCCTGAATAACAAATTTGATAGAAAACAGTCTGTCACTAATTAAAATCGTAATATTTTCCTAACAAAATAGTTTTTTTATTGTTTATACTCCTGCCCTATTGGCCTTACGCACTTCGACAAGAGTCCCCGAGAAATACTTTTTTTTGGATTAAGCATAACCATTCTACATAAACTTTCTATATATTAACCTAATTTGCGTCTACAGCCGACTTTTATTAGGAGTACTCGCATTGCGCCTGGATCACCCGTCAATGGGTTTTCTCGCCAGAGAAGAGGGAAACTGTAGAAAACCTCTCCTGAGTACAACCGGTTTATCGACAGTCGAGTTCAAATGGTGTGTACCGGACAATAATCGACGGTGCACATCATTATACCTCGACGTCAAACCTCCCGCTCAGATTGTCTCACGTGCCGAAAAATTCCAAGCCAAGTGGGCGCGAACCAAGGATACTTATACCCTTGGTCCTTAAACGACCGCCAACGCCAGGCATCTATCCGACTGAGCTAATCTGTCGGTTCTAACAAAATAGTTAATGCTAACTAATTGTTAGTTTTTCCCAGTAAAATTTAATTCCCGGCTATTTCCCAGTACTAAGCGTACTTATTTAGCCTAAGACCCCTAACTCTGCCGTACTAAAGAAATAGGAAAAACAAACTAGATCGTCAACGTAACCGACTTATTTTATCTAAATATTTTTTTATTCGTTTTCGTTTTTATTTGCATTAAATAATTAATTTAAATAGGGGAGACTGAGGTCAACCGCTCATTTTTTTCCGATCCGTAAAAATCTAGGAAATTATTCTCTAAATCCAAGTTAATTTATATCAATGTTGATAATGTATAATATGATCTTGGGAAGGTAAGATTTGAACAAAAATTTAAAAGTATTAATTCAACATTAACAAACTATGGAAGGATATATTTCTAACAACTTACTAATTAATTTATATCATTTGAAAGCTTATGATTTCTATTTAAAAAAAAGAGTTTTTAAATTATCTTTTTTAGTTTCATGAATTACAACAGCTATAGATTTAAATAATGTTATATTTTATTAAGAGAAAGTAAAATGTAGTTACAATTTTGGTTTTAACAAATTATAAATTTTATTATTTTATTCTAAATTTTAAATTTAAAACTAAGTGAGCTGCTTTACCCCGAATGTATTCCCCACATTTCAGAATGAATTCAATTAAATCTTTTTGATATCAGACAAACCTATATAATTATGTACTTTGAAAATGGACATCCAATACCATAAAAAATAGCCAAATAAATTAAGGGTCAAAAATAATTATCAAAAAACTTAAAAATGCAATGACTGTTTTTTTCTGACACCTCTAAAAACATTTGATCGCCTCTGATTCTATGTTGAATTCATGAAACTAAACTAAAGTTCGTTAATATAAGTTGAATGTTAAGTACTATTTACAGTATCAATATGAGTTCATAGCGTCAAATAGCTAGTTAGCGGGTTTACCCCAGTCTCCCCTAATGTATGGAAATTATTTATTTTTTCTTGAATATTTCAAATCTATATATAAGTGATTCTCCTAAAAGTGGTCAATTTCATGTCTTTGAATTATATCTTCTAAACATCTTGACATTTAAATATTAACATTGGACAAAAATATTATTCAAACATCACTTATTATACCCTTTATAAAAAACGATAATTTTTTAACACAAATTTAGTGGAAAACAACACTCAACAGCTGGAAAACAGCAATTCAATATGTCCTTACCTCTGAGTACCAAACTTTAAAGTACTATTGCTTATAAAAAAAGAACTATCTTTAATTATACAATAAATATTATGAAAGATTAACTCAAAAGGTTCAATTTTTATCGATGAAATTTTTTAATACATCAATATAGTCATTGATAATTATTAAAATATAAGTGTCTTTAAAAATCAACATGCTGGCACGACAAAGGATAAACGTGTATAAATAAACTATAAGACGTGCACTTTTTATATCAAAATTAATTGGAAATTAAAGAAAAAACATGTC